TTTTTTTTGTATTTAATGACCGGAACTATTGAAAATTGTTGCAAAGAGCTCTAGAACTTTTTAAGAGAGTATCAGAACTGCAAAAAAAAATGGCACATTTTGAAATATGGTGTGCCAAGACTTGGCGCACCATATTTCAAAATGTGCCATTTTTTTGCAGTTCTGATATTCTCTTGAAAAGTTCTAGAGCTCTATGCAACAATTTTAAATAGTTCTGGTCATTAAATACAAAAAAAAAGACTGTATAATTATACTATTCTTATAAGTAAAAAAGAATATGAATATTAAACAATTCTTGAACGAGTTCTTCATTCGAGCTTCCTTAGTGGCAGTAAACAACAATCCGCAACTTTAAGATAGACTCATAGCTTATACACTTCGAGATTCTTCGTTGACTTTTCAAGTTTGATGGGATTTGCAGAGTCGATATAGAATCAAAATTTCGACTTGGGTAAACATTCTCAGCAAATCCTGCTTTAAGAGCTATTAATAGTCGTTGCTTGAAATTGACGTCAGTTGAGATACTCAGGTTTGAATTTAGAGTTAGATGTGAATTTTTCAGCTGAATCGCGATTGCAAATGCAATGTTGCATGTATTAGATGATTCAAGAAGAAATCTCAAATCTTAAACTTTAACTTTAACTTAAACTTTAAATTTCTATCTGATTACCTCACATGGGACGTTTCAAGTAATGACTATTAATATGGACCTAAGCCTCCATGTGAAGAAAACGATAATAAGTCGCGATTTGTAGCATCAAAAGGACACAATGGTCTGATATAAATGCTGTAGGATTTATTCTAAATCCTCTCTTATTGATTAGAATAATTCTAAATATAACTTGTAAACTTTGGGTACATTTCATATCATAAGTATATTTAGAGAAACACTTTCACTGATAAAAGAAAATTCAGGGTAAGAACCAATATTGCAAAGTTTCTCACTGACTTGCAAGTTCGACAGTATTTGCAAGCTCAACGTAGAATCTAAAGAGCAGTGCCAAGTTTCATAGTGCCCCTATTCCATAGGATTTTGCAAGAGTTTCTATATTCCAACAAATAACACATCGATTTGAAGCTTAGGACGAGTAGACTACCATCGGCCATATATCATACACGAAATCCCCAGTTTCCCAGACACGTTTCGTGAACACGCCCGCGATATTACCGCTACCGAGTAGAATCACACAGACATAACTATAGAGAAATGTGGGATGCTGTTTAGAACTGTTATTTCAACTTAGTAAAGCAATTCAAAGTCGGTATAGACGGTTGTATTGCAACAACTGTTATCATAGAAAGCGGTCAGACTAATTATAAGGTCGCAAGTTAATTGGCCGTTACTGCTGAGCATTTATTTCACGTTACATAGTGTTCTATACAATTCGGCAAATAATACGTGCTAAATTGAAAAAGTTTCCGCCTTCGTGGCTGCTTAACGCTATAAAATGGCGCGATAAAAAATATATGCACGAACAACGCAGGACTAAGGTGTTTATGAGGAAAGTCGAGAACGACATTCTCCGCGGAAACTGTCTCCGAAGAAACGTCGATCTTAATTTTAACTGTGACGCGCAATCTAGTCTATCAAGTCGACGATAACCAATAATTATATCTGATTGTACTCAGATGTTATTTTCATAGAAAGAGACAAAAAAGTTCAGGAAACAAGAATGAGATAATGAGACACATTCAAGATGTATAATCTCTGAAATGTTATTTTGTTTATTTCAATCAAGATGTTCATTGAGTTAGAAATATTCAATTGTGTACTATTCCTCGCTAGTTAATTTCATCTCATTATCACAAGAAAATCGAAATATTATTCTAGTAACAAAGAAACTGAAAGGTCGAACTTTTCATTACAGAATTCACCAACTTCGGTACACTATTAATAAGTTATTGATAATAATCGCCGTAATATCGGGGCCTGTATCCGTAATTGCGTCTTGGGTAAGGATTGTACGAATTCCGATAAGGTAAACTTCCGTAGGATCTCCGCTGCCCTTCCTGTCGGAATCGGAAGAGCGGCCTGAAGACGATGTGCGCGGCGGTGTCCATGTCACGTGAATCTTTGGGATAGTCAATGTCCGCATCCGAAGTCCAGAAGAGCGGTGCTACAATGTCGATACGTGGCACTGCGATCGGAAGCGAAGCTTCGGGACGAACGTCGCTCGCGTATTGATTCTCCATCGTAGCTGGCTCATACAGCAAAGGTGTCTGCGCGTAAAAAAGAGAAAGAAAGAGATGAAAATTGTTGATTTTCCCTAATAAATTTAAAGTGAAATATAGAATAATACGAGACAAATTTCATGCTCGACAGATTGGAGGAACTAAATGAAGGATTATTTAAGTAAATATTTAATTTACATTCAATGGAGAAAGAGGGAGAGAGAGAGAGAGAGAGAGAATGAAGAAAATTTATAAAAAAATATATAAAAATAGCAGACAATAAGAGCCAAATTGCAAGTCTAATTTATACATATTTACACGATATAGTGAACAGTCCGATTCACATTAATCCATATATGAAATAGAATATCTGCCTGTTCCCTGTGAATTCCTAAAAGTTTTTGACCGATCTGGACCAAATTTTGTATATTTATCCTCTAGCATTCTGCGGGAAATATAGGAAATATAGTATTCTGCTACCATAAAATGTGGATACCCCATCTCTTCCCGTTGATCTTATCCTTTTGATACTTTGTGATAACCCGGGTAGTTTAACCCTTTGAGCCATAAAGGGATACTATAGCGTCCACTTATCTTTTCTTTATTTTTAGTGATTTTCAATAATACATATCAATTATATTATTCAATTATATTATTACTATATACTCTTTCTCACATGCACATAAACATAAGGAACTAAAAATAAGTAAAAAATAATTAGAATGTTTAATTGTTAAATTATTATCAGCAAATAAAAGTAAAAGAAGACATCTTTTTCAGACAAAAATCATTCTAAGGCTAATTAATAGATATCGATACATCGAAATATTAACAATTTATTAAAGATAATTAACAATATTTTGCATATTTTTCAAATTTTCCGTAGATACTACTTTTTACAATAAACTCTTGAAATATTTGCAATATATTTGTGGTAAGTTTCTCGTCAAAAAATTTGAATTATCAAATCATCGAATTTTAATTTTTTATCTCAAATTCGTAATCAGCGACCTCGATATCCTCCACGTGCCAAATTCAAAGAAACTCCACCGAGAAATAAAGTATATAGTTCAAGAGGTTATGCTTATTAGCTGTAAATATTGAAACGCTTTGTGAAACACTTCTTCTGGTCATCGAAAATTAAAAGAAATTAAAAAAAAAAGAAATTTACCTGCGATGGGGACGACGTAAGTCGCCAATAATCAGAATCCACGCTCAACGTGCTGCTATCGATGTAATCTTGAACGTTTCGCTGTATCTCGTCGCGATTGTTCTCCAATAGGTCCAACCGGCTGCTCGTGGTGTCGTCTATCTCTGACAACGTCGCCGCGATCGGGACGTCGATTTTGTCGTCGGAAATTTCCGTGGGGTCGAGAAACGCGATGATCGGCACCGATATCGTGGGCGGTGGGTGGTGGGGCTGGTAATCCTCTGGACGCTCCATTTTCTGTTCTGGATTTGGTAGAAGGTACGGAATTTCCGGAGGTGCGTTATCACCGTTGATAGGGAGGTCGATCGGTTTACTCGTGGTCTCGAAAAACTCGTCCAACACTTCGTGAAAATCGACACGCTGCGACATGTCAAACGGATCATTTTCGTCTTCCTGAAAAATTGTTGATGCGTGAACGATCGCAGACGCGCTTCATCGCGCGAATCACAAACGAATCGCGCGAAGCGACGAACTATCAAGTTGCGTAACAAGTAATTTCGGATTCCTCGATTGAAATGATCGTATTCTTGAGTTGTTATAATTTTATGAAAAATTCGAAATGTTAGCGCGCCAATCGCTCGCGCGAGTCGACATCATATCGAGACATTAAAATGATCAGATTGGCATAAAAGACTCGTCATATTTGTTAAATAAAATAGAAGATAAAATTGTGTAATTTCGAGAGATTAATTTTCATAAATAGAACGAACTCGCTATTTTTTAGATGTCTAACAATGATTTGCTGTTTTCCTTTTAATATCCAAACTTCCAACTTCCAAAGAGTTTTCATCGAAAAGTGACAAATCTTTCGTGCCAACCTAATGCAATAAATTTCTGGCCTACATGAGATCCCTTCTCGCCATTCTGGGTGAAGAGTTGCACCAAACCGTCCTTGTCCGTCTCCTCGTTCGCACTTTCCGTGATGTTCTTTCTCACGTCTTCGAGATTTGTCATCGGAACCACGAGAACTTGCTCGCGCTGCGATACCACCTTGAAGGGCGACAATACGAGATTTACCATGTCCTTTCCTTTTATTCCGAACTTGGGAATCAAACTTGCAGTTTGCGTTAAATTCGCGGCTGCAAACTTGCGTCATTTCTTCCAGCGGTTAGTTAACGCTTCCGCGCCGTTCTTATGTAAACGATTAATCACGCTTCGACGTAGCGATCATTAATGAAAGCTAACAGTGCTAATCACTTTGATTATTAGCGAGTGTCGCTCATGACGGCGATATTTAGCTATTTACTCTCACGCGTGTCGTTCCTTGCGATAAATATTTGTAAAATTGTCGGATTGATTGATCATGCGACTAGGCGGACGCGAGAGGGAAATATATTGCGCGAACCTTGGTAGGTTCGATGGCGGGCATGATGAGGACCTTCTTCTTCACCACCAAGCCTTCCAAGGGCCCGCTGCCAACCGCGTCCTGCACGGCGTCCTGCACCACCGGATCCTGCACGATAGCGGCCAACGTGTCGTTCTTCGTCTTCGGTTCCATCGGCAACAGATTGACCACGTCGTCGTAATCGATAGGCTGCGCGCTAGATGTTGCCGCGAACAGCAGAAGGATGATGGAAAACATAATGTGTCTCGGGCAAAGCTGCGAATGAAAATGCAATTAACGCGTTTACTCACGAGAATTCCATAATAAAAATTGCTGTAGCGTTTTCTAACCGAAGAATAGATCGACATTCTGTAATAATTAACTATCCTTTCATCTTTTGTATGCTTAATACAAAATATATTATCTCCGTATAGTTAATATCGGGTCCCTCGGATCTTCTTGACTGACTTCTTTTAGTCTTCAACTGAGATCTTTCGAAGAAAATTGAGGTGCGCCTGTGGTAAATTAGTTTGAACAAGTTCTTTTTTTTTCAAGATGTGAATTTCGATTTAAAAAAAAAAATCTCTTTCTATTTCTCCCTTTCTCTTTCTTTCTTTTTTTCTTTCTTTCTCTCTCTCACGTTTTCCGTACAGCCTCGTGAGACCTTACAGCTTGTGACTCAGCTTTCTGAAATAGAACACTCAGTCACTCGCTCGCAATGATTAGCCGTGACACGAGTGTTCCCTTCGCGAAAATGCGCCGTGTTAATTGCTCACGCGAAAAGTGGATTTTCCCGAACGGCGCAATCGCTGTCGAAGAACGAACGTACCGACGAGTCGTATTCCATCGCGATGGCGAAACTGCGAAGTTCCTCACGCTGCCCCGACGACCGGACTGTCTCGTCTCGCGATGATGATTTCCGAGCTCTGTCAAGGTATAACGGGCTGGTACCGGCTTTATACGAGGTGCTGAAAGAATTATCGCTAGGCCGCTAATACGCGTGAGTATGAAGCTCGCGGTAAACCGACGTCTTTGTCGGATGCTGCATCGCAAGGAAGAAGACTCTTTCAATCGTCGATCATGCGGCAGTGCATCTCCTCGCGAAAAATCTCACCCTGCTCCGCTCTTGCAAGTAGGAAACGTTGAACGATGGCTTATAAAGAAGAGAGACTCGTCCGTTAACAAAACAAGCCTCCGCAACCGTCCATCCATCCACTCCCGTTGTCCCTTCAATCGCCGTGATTCGATCAGTGCGAGGCAACGTCGAGGCACCTCATCAGGTACCGTTCGACCGACCGCGCAGTAATATTTTGCTTATCGTTAGCGCGTTTCTAACAATATTGCCGGGACTCTGGTGGTGTTTAGCGAGCGGCTTAGCAACGAGAGTCCCGTGTGACAAGCTATAAAAGAGCTGCTCCGACCTGCCGAGTCGCTAGTCGACAACGGAAAATTCGATCCCCTGCGCCACTCGGGAAAATCCGCGCAACGCCTCCGGAAATGGAATCTTTCGGCGTCCTTCTCAACGTCCTCTGTTGCTTCGCGATCTTGGCGGGACCGATGATGGTGCTCTCGGCTCCGTCGACGACCGAAATCCCGAGGGCCGACGCGGCTCGTCCAAGCGTGGAGTCGTCCAAGTCGAAGGACACAGAGAAGGACCCAGACTGCCCTTGGATCCACGTGGCTCGCGCAGAAGACGCAGTCCAAGCTGATAAAGAACTCTCGAGGAATTCATCTCGCTCCGAGGAGGAGTCGGCTCAAGACGCGCGACGCTCGAAGCACACCGGAGATCGTCGCGGAGATGGCTTCCGATTAAGCTATCAGCGAGGACCCGCTGTAGATTTACCGTCGCACGATACCACCTTACCGGATTCTGGTGCGATATCGGCCCGCCAGGCGAAAAGGAGCACCGGGGATTACAGGGATTACCCCGCGTCGTCGTCGGTCACCTCTGGCGACGATGTCGCACGCAGAAGCATCGATTCGTCACGGCAACGAGGCTCAGGTTTTAAGGACGATCTCGGGATAGCGGAATATAGATTTCCGCCTCAGAATCCTTACTGGTACCAACGGCAATACTCGAATCAGAGATATCGACCGAACGACAGGAGGGATCCTTATCGGAACTACCTGAGATATCCTGTATTCCCGGGCAGATAAATATCCGAGAGAGAGATTCAGCTCTCCTCTCTTTTGTTGCTGAGTAAAATGTATATCTGCATCGTTTGGGAAAGAACGGACGGAGAGAAAAAGAAATCAATAGAACGATCAATAGCACAAATAATCAGTAGAATAGAGAAATGTTTTCGGTTGAGGGTGTAGTATTTCGCGCTCGAGGGCGACTATAATATATAGATAATCCTTGTTAAATAAATTATATAAATAATCCTCTCGCGATGTGAATGTGAACAATTCCTTTGCGTGTAAATTCGGACTGTGATTAAAGGATGTCGGATTGATTATTTGGACTGTGATTGAAAGATATTACTTGATGGCAGAGAGAGATAGATAGATAGATAGATAGATAGAGAGAGAGAGAGAGAGAGAGAGAGAGAGAGAATTGTTTAATTATTTCTAAAGAGTGGTTTTGTTACTGAAGAAACGTGTTTTGATTATTTGAACACATACAATGTCAACATTCCTAAATATATCCTTGTAAATGAATAATAAGACGACCAATGCATGTAATCACGATGTTATTTACATTTATTTACTCCACACATACGATGTTATTTATTTACATTTATTTACTCCACACATACGCTTAACTTACGTGGATATTATTTTAACCGCAAATATTATTTTATTTACTTTATTATAGACTTTTATTACTTTATTTATAGACTTTACCGTCTATAAATATCATCGTATCACAATATAACGCTTACGCCGTTCTGCGAAGCAGCTTTGGTAGATAGCTTTCGGTCGTTATCTAAAATATTTATTAAAACTATTTATTAAAATAACGAGACATGACTCGTCATCCCCTATAACCTAATGACGATTACTTATCGGACTTAAGAGTAATTAATTATCTTTATTGTTGAATTTAGCGCTTCTCACACTTCCCTAGATCGTTGTATGGTGGCGCTGAGAACGCGTAGACGTCTTGTCTCTACTGCTGTGGGCGTATACAGAGCTCTTAACTCCGTCTGTCGATGTATCTTCTTTTTCTCTGTTCTGTTCGCTCATCGATATATATTTTATAATAAATACTTTATATCAACACTCACAGTGTTTCCTTGTTAAAAGCTCACATTTATCTCATTGATTTATTTATAATTGACGTATTTATGATTAACATATTTATAATTATATTTATAATTGTCGTATTTATAACGATATTGATACGAGCCGATTCAGTTGGAGGCCGTTTAACTAACAACTGATCTCAACAAATCTAATCGAGAACTGTTCGACCAACGATCGACGAATTCGATTAAAGACCATTCAATTAATGATTGATACGAGCGAAGGGGATCAAAGATCGTTTAACAAATTGAACTTAGCAAACTAAAGATTAGCAAATTAAAGGTCGATGAAATTGAACTTAACAAGTTTAATTAAAGATTGAAAACTATTGATTTGAGCTAATTCAATTCAAAGACCGTTCAGTGACGATTGATTGATCAGTGCCCTCTTCTCCTCCCCTCAACGCAAGTCCTACTTAGCGCTGCTCAATCATCAACATCTTCCACGATACTCCATGAATATTATTCACCAATTATAATCTGGAATAATTAAACGCTTTTGATTGAGTCGATTGAATTTGTTCATATCAATTGTCGGTTAAAGGGATGCCGAACTGGATGACGAATTCGAAAATCTCGATAATGCAGAGGCGATTGTCACTAACACGATCATATCATCCTTTTCGTATTTCTTGTGTGTATATCTCAACTAATATTCAACTTATTGATGGGGAATAGTACGATTTGGTTCCTCGATGACATAGAAAGAAATCTGAAAATATTTACAAGTGCACGCACACAGAGAGAATATTATAGTATTTTAATAATAATTCTTGCTGTGAAGATAACAAATTTTATTATATATATAAGTCTTATATAAATGTGTACCGCGTTTTGTTTTATCATGTGTGCCAGCAGGAAACCTAACCACGCACATGTAGAAATTTTTCTGCAAACTGTTTGTAGATTTTTAAGCTTCTAAATTTATTTGCGAAAATGCAGATATGTCCCTTGAAGTTTTTCTTAGTGAAGCAAACACACATACAGAACGTACAAGCTGCAGAATTTTTGTTTCGAGTCAATTATATTTGTCAACTGATAGCTCGGAATGTTAATTTTAAAATTTTTTGTCGTTTTCCTCACATATCGAGCAATGACATCCAATTCGTTATTGCGCGTATTATCAATGTGTAAAAGCATTTGTAGTCCTATGCAATCAAGTTTGACGCAAATTAACGAGCAAGTTGAATTTGCTAAGTTAATTGAAACTTTTTATTCTCTTTGCTCATCTCTACCCAGTCATTAATCGAGAACGGTCCTCAATTGAATTCGTTGAAATCAATCGCCAATTGAACATTCTTGGATTGAATTTGCTTGAATCAATTGTCAATTAGTTGAATTGAAACATATTCGTCCAAGTCAATTATTGAAATGAGAAATATTTATTTGATACTTTTACAATTTTGTTACATGTACAATAATAATATCATGCTTCTCTCCATTCGAGTTCTAATCGTTTCATGTGGACTTTGGTCCGACTTGATTAGTCAATCAGTCCGAATCGAAGTCACGAAAGCTTACGAAATATCGTGAGATCGTGATAGTGAAGAATAGATAAATGCTGCATCTTGGTCTCTTGCCCGATCGCCCGTAGCTCTTTGGAGTCCCCACGTCGGTACAGATTCAAACTTGCCGAGTCGGCGAGTTCGTGCTGTTAATGTCCGTCGTAATAACGAGGTCCGCAACCTCTTAGCGTAATTTACTAGCGAGTTCAATATCCCCGTATGACAAAAGTGCGACGTCTTCAAGCTCGCTCTCTCTTGCTCGCTTTTTGCCGTGGAGATCCCTTTCTTCCGCCGACGGGACCATCAGTTTCGCCTCGGGAAGACGACCTTGTTTGCACCCGAAATTTTCGTGCTCGTGCGAGTCTTCCGCCTGGCCGTTTATGCGCTCGTGTGCTCGCTCGCGTGGAGTCCCGTTGACCGTCCGAGATAATCTCCTTGACGAACGTACCACTTTCCCTGATCTTCCAGTTGTCGTCTGAATTTGTCTTGAGGTTTTTCGCGCCTTCTTTCACGCGGCAGCTTTCTGTCGCGGTCCTGACTCTTCGTGAATCCTTCTCTCAGGATTTTGAAGATCTAGTCTTAACAAGAGGCCGTCGCGGCTCCCATGTTAAAATCTCTCCGAATGTATCTCGCGTGGATGTATTACCTGCCCGATAACACAGAAGTGAGATAATGATTGTGCAGTCTACCGGCCAATGGCCAAGTCCTTCGAGCTGCATCTCCCCGTTTTCGCTTATATTCGCCTTCCAAGGCGGGCTTCCCTGGCGCGCTGTCGATACGCGATCTGCTGACGATAGACGAAGAGCGGCCGAAGGATGTTGCTACCAGCCGCGGTCTCCAGATCGTCCTCGTCGGCTTCCTGGACGCTGCGTTTCACGATGCCGAAGGAATTCTCCGAACTGTCGTCCAACGCATACATCGGTCCTTGATCCGCCTTAGCTTGAGGTTCCTCGAGGTCCTCCACGAAAACGGGCACAACAACCAACGGAGAACCGTAGATGGTTGCCATTTTGAGGGGTAGCGCGCAACAGCAGCCAACAAGCAACAGCGCGAAGACAATAACTTTGGCAGCCGTCTGAAGGAGAAGAAAGAATCGCACCCTTACATATCGTGGCACCAAAATTCGCACCGAGAAACAGATTTTAGAAGCACGCGAACACGCACCTCGGACAGTATTCTATGTACAGATATTTAAAAAATAAAAAAATATTTATTCGCTCTTCTGAATACTCTAAATTTTTTAGTAGAATTAAAATGGAGTGGCACTCGAATTCTTTCTCTCTCTCGAGCATTCCACCGGCAAAGGAACACATTCACTCCAAATCGATTGAAATATTCGCTCATACGTAGTCAGAATCTATTCTAATCTTGAGTGAAACATTCACTCCTGTGGTTCTAAATGACAGTATTTTCACTAAAGACCAAAATATATTCGGCGCGTGCGCGTTTCTATCGTCAAATAATGCTATCCTCTTGTAATGAACCCTCTTAATTTGCTTTATGAGCATTTTTGAGACATCTTTTACCAATTTGCGCTGACTAGACCGTTATCTATGCGATCTCGAAGAAGACGTACTTACCATTTTGTATTCCAAAAAGTGGAAGTTCGACGAAGTCCTCGGTGAGCACGTAGCGATCAAGTACTTTCGCACGATTTCAGGCCACGAGGGAGTCCGATCAATGAAGAAGACGAACCAGAGCAGAGTCTCGAGAAACTAAGAGCACGTACAACAAGCGCGTCGTGGCGACTGAGTCGTGGGTTTATGGTGGCCGAGATCGTGCATTCGGTATTTATATGAAACAATGACGTCAAAACAGAGCACGCTAATCATAAAATGACGTTCCGCGACGAGCGATAAGTGACCTGGTAAACTGACCAAGTGACACGCCGATCCTTCCCGGGTACGTAGCAATGCGTCGCGTCCTGCGCCACCATGTCGACGTTCTCGCAGGTGTTAACTCGTCCGCGAGGCGACCGTCATAATATCCCCCTCGATGATTGTCGGTTTACGCGCGAAACGGTAATATTGACCATTTTCACTAAGTCTCTCGACTAGAAGGCGCCGCCGAAAATACACCACAAATACACGGAGACTTGGCCGACCTCGACATTGCAAACTCGCTCCTCGAGACGCGCCCCTGGACTTCCGTATTTCTGATCTGCTTGTCGCGCGCGCGCGCGAGTTTATCTTGTGGATTCTCTCGCTATTCATCTTGCGCCGTCCATCTTTCGGGACGAGTCCAAGAGACGGGTCTTCTCGTTTTGGAAATCCAAACGGATTCAAGATCGCTCGAGTCCCTTCGCTACTGAAATCCGTGTTCCCCGAATTATCGCGATAAAGGTAAATCATTCGCGCAAGAAAAAAGCTGACCACGTTCGACTACGTCGAAGCGAATCTACGTAACGCGATATTAGATTAACGTCTATCCTAAGACGCAACCGCGGTTAGATCTCTTTTCACGTGAGACGTGACATAACAAACAGCTGTCTTCTAGAACGTCGCGACGTTCTACATATTGTTACGTCACCGTGCGCGCGAGAACTTCATCTTACTCTCTTCGAGATATATAATAATTAGTCATTCGACTACTATTTGATTTGTTGATGGAAAGTAGTACGATTTGGTCCCCCGATATGACATAGAAAGAAATCTCAAGATATGTGCAATTTCCTTATACTTTGCCATCATCTTATCTCTTGGTGAAAAATACGTCAATTCAGAAAAAGCGTGGCTTTGGAAAAAGTGAGGCTAAATCTATATATATTGAATTTTATAAGCGCGTACACATATAGAGAGAATATTATAGCTTTTTTTGGCAGTAATCTCGCTGTGAATATAGCAAATTTTTTAATAGTGCATCTTCTAAAATATTGGGCTATGTAATAAGCAATTTTGGATTTTTCAGATAAAATGAAATGATTGCATTTTTACGTCATTATAATTTTACGAAATGATCTATGCGCTATTTTGATCTATAATATTTCTTTTCTGCCAACCTCCGCGTGTATTGTTTTACGAAATTATAACAACATAAAGATATAATCGTTCCATTTCACTCCAAAAATGCGAAGTTACTTGTTACACAATCTAATACAAACAGCACATATAAAATGAAAAGATAATTAATTAGTGCCTGATGTCGATTTATTGCTTGATTACAAAAATCATATAATTTTTTACTAAAAATTCTCTTTATGTATACACGAGGAGAATATGTTTCGGTTCTTTTTTCACAGAAATTCTTTTCAATTTTGCTATATTTTTCCAGCAGTGTGCGGAAATAAATTGTTAAAAAAACTATCTTACTAAGGAACAAAGTAAATTTCTTTAGGGACATAGTCAATTCTTTAATAGCGCATTTCAGTTCCTAAAAATAAAATTCTAATAAAAATAAATTTCTAAAAAAGATATAAATAGTACACATGAAACGAAAGAGATAATAAATTGTTGCAGAATGTCGATCTATGCCTTGATGTTACAAAATTCTATACACAGTAATACTTTTACTATAAAATTCTCTCCGTACACTTTCAATATATCCTTCTTTTTGGATTCAGTCAACTGAAAAGCTTTTTTCGACGGATTAATCGCCGATTTTACGTAGGATTAGACCAAAGATTAGGGGGGAAAGAAAGAAAATCGCGAGAGTCCCTCGCCCCGTGGTTGAATTTAGTCCGGGTATCGAGAACTCGCGACAGCAAATTACGCACATCGTGTTGTTTCTCTGTAGCAAACAGACTGATTTATTTCTCTTTTCAGATCGTCGCATTGCACGTGAAACAGATTGCAGCATCCGGCGGTGGCTTTTTTCCCTCTTTTAAAACGTGTTAAAAGGCACAGAACGGAGGATTATCGCGCGTAGAACGATTACGCGGGGCGGTTTTCTTTCTTTCGATTTAGATCGTGGACTCGGCCTCCTCGTGCACGGTTTCGCAGCTTTCGGTAGATTCGCTTTTAGATCTGAAAGAAATCACCAAATAAGGATCTCACCGTGCTTCGGTCGGGGGGAGGGGAGAAGAGTTGCTATTTATAAGACGAGATAAACGATAAGAGAAACTAGAAGTCGGAGGAACTGATTGCGCTAAAATATTAAGGCGAGTCGCGCGAGACAGAACAGAATTGGGAACGCGATTTAACTGGAAAATGGTGCGCATTGTACCAGGGGTCAAGAGGTGGCGAATTATGAAAACGGGGAATGTGTGAAAATAAATCCTTTCCTAATGTAACGAGCAACTAACTGATCATTCACTAACGTCGTGCTATTCCTAATCAAATGATCTACCTTTCTCTGTCTGCCTGTCCCTCTCTTGACGTAGGAATACAAAAGAAAAGTATATCAGGTTAATTAATTTGAAATGGCTTCTTTCTCTCATGATTGCCTGGGATCACTACAGTTGTGTCGTTGGTGTTCGTAAAAAACATCTATATTACCTGAATTATTAGTACATAAATCCGATTTTCTGTCCGCAGAAAATGCATTGCGAAAATAAATTCACGGTGAAAAATTGCGCAATTTTCGGTGAGAATCGCGCGTGCGACTCTTTCTCTCTCTTTCTCTCTCGGAGTTCTCGG